CTTGGACTGTAAGAATGTTTTTGACACAGTTTCACACAAGAGATTAGTGCATAAATTGTAGGACCAGGCAGGTATAACAGGGAAGGCACTGCAATGTATCAGGGAATATCTATCAGGAAGACATCAGCTAGTCATGGTACGTGATGAGGTGTCAGAGTGGGCGCCTATGACGAGCGGGGTTCCACAGGGATCAGTCCTAGGACTGGTGCTGTTTCTGGTATATGTGAACACAGTGAAAGGAATAAACTCAGAAGTGTCCCTGTTTGCAGATGATTTGCAGTTGATGAGAAGAATTCAATCGGACAAAGACCAGGCATAATTACAAAGGGATCTGGACATGTTGCAGGTCTGGTCCAGAAACTGTCTCCTGGATTTCAACCCCACCAAGTGCAAAGTCATGAAGATTGGGGAAGGGCAAAGAAGAGTCTAGGTGGTCAGAGACTACAAACCTCACTCAAGGAAAAGGATCTTGGGGTGAGTATAACACTGGGCGCATCTCCTGAGGCACACATTAACCAGGCGCTCATATGCTGCAGCATATGAGCGCCTGGCAAACCTGAGAATAGCATTCCGATACTTTAGTAAGGAATCGTTCAAGACTGTACACCATGTACGTCAGGCCCATACTGGAGTATGCAGCACCAGTTTGGAACCCACACCTGGTCAGGCACATCAAGAAATTAGAGAAAGTGAAAAGGTTCGCAATAAAACTAGTTCCAGAGCTAAGGGGAATGTCCTATGAGGAAAGGTTAAGGAAAATCGGCCTGACGACACTGGAGGACAGGAGGGTCAGGGGAGACATGATAACGACATACAAAATACTGCGAGGAATAGACAAAGCGGACAGAGACAGGATGTTCCAGAGATGGGACACAGAAACAAGGGGTCACATTTGGAATTTGAAGACTGATGAGTCAAAGGGATGTTAGGAAGTATTTCTTCAGTCATAGAGTTGTTAGGAACTGGAATATTCTGGCAAGTGATGTAGTGGAGGCAGGAACCATACATAGTTTTAAGACAAGGTATGATAAAGCAAGGAGAGAGAGGACCTAGTAGCAACCAGTGAATTGGCGGGGCCAGGAGCTGAGTCTCGACCCCTTCATCCACAAATAGGCGAGTACAAATAGGTGAGTACACACTCATACACACTCTCTCACACACACACACGCTCTCACCCTTACTCTCACCCTTACTCTCACCCTTACTCTCACCCTCTCATACACTCTCATTTTCTTTCTCACTGTATGATATTTGAACAAGAGCATAGGTCTTATAAATTGTATATGTAGGCATACTGATTCGATTGAAATAATTTTTTTTTCAGTTGATAAAATAAATGTTGGCAATGATTTTTCTTTATGGGCTGGTAGGTCTACTTGCCAGCTGTGTGTGTCTTACAGTGTTGTACTTGTCATATTAATGAAAATGTGTTTCTCAAGTTAGTCGGAGCAGCAAAAATTCCTTGATAATTTTTCACCCTAATTATCCTGTTTTATAATAATATATTTATTTATTACAAGGACATGTACAAGGTATATAGGCCTAGCTGACATCAATGACATACTACTATATAGAAAGCCGCTTGTTATGCAGAGCATTTTGGGCAAATTAGGTTAGTTTTGTCCCAGGATGCGACCCACACCAGTCGACTAACACCCTGCTACCTATTTTACTGATGGGTAAACATAGACAACCAGTGCCAGGAGACACACCCAATGTTTCCACCCCTTTGCTGGGAATTGAACCCGGACCCCTCACCATGTGAAGCAAGAGCTTTTGCCACCAGGCCATGGGGCCAATCAAAGAAATGGTCCACAAGGCATTGAGCTTACTCCCATCACACAATGTGGTGAGATTTGCGGATTGAAGAATTGATGCCTGGCAGCATTGTGACAGTTGACTTAACTTGGTAGGTTAATCTGTAGGTAGTGGTTTACATTTCCCACAAGGCTTCTCGTTCAGAATTGTAAATTACAAGTAATGATACTGCACTTCACTGTCACCTTTAGAATGTTTCGTTAATTGTTTTCACTTCCAGGACACTTTACACTGCAGCTTGTATAAAAATACACAAGCCACGCAAATAAGCCATGAAAAATCACAACAGACATGAACGAAGAGAAGCCTGATGTGCAGTTAGTGCTTGTTTCTGACTACCTACCCCATGGCAATGACATTATACAGTAGAATAGCACTAGCAAACTACAGATGTATCCTTTGACTCCTATAGATGATTTCAGCAAAGACAAATTTCAATTACTCTAATATGAAAAACTCGAGGAAGTGAAAACTGTATCAGAGTATAAAACAAATTCCAACCACACAGTAGAGTGGGAGACTAATGTGAAGGACCTGGGAGTGATAATGTCAGAGAATCTCACTTTCAAAGATCATAACAATGTATCTACCACATCTGCTAGGAAAATGATAGGATGGATAATGAGACCCTTCAAAACTAGAGATGCCAAGCCCATGATCATTCTCTTCAAATCTCATGCTCTCTCTGTTCTAGAATACTGCTCTACACTATTGGCCTCTTTCAAGGCAGGTGAAATTGCAGACCTTGAGAATATACAGAGAACTTTCACAGTACAAATAAGTACGATAAAGCGCTTAAATTACTGGTAACAGTTGAAGTCCCTTGATTTTTTTTCTCCCCGGAATACAGGCAAGAAAGATACATACATGTAATAGTATACATTTGGAAAATCCTAGAGGGACTAGTCCCAGATCTGCACACTCAAATAATTCCCAACAAAAACAAAAGACTCAGCAGGAGATTCAGCTTACCCCCAATGAAAAGCAGGAGTGCCACAAGTACGCTAAGAGAAAACACAATAAGTGTCAGTGGCCCAAGACTGTTCAACTGCCTCCCAGTATACATAAGGAGGATTACCACTAGATCCCTGGCTGTCTCCAAGAGGGAACCGGATAAGCACTTAAAGTCAGCACCTGACCAGTCGGGCTGTGGTTCATACTTCAGTTTATGTGTGGCCAGCAGTAACAGCCTGGTTGATCAGGCCCTGATCTACCACAAGGTCTGGTCACAGACCAGGCCGTGAGGGCGTTGACCCCCAAAACCCCCGCCAGGTATACTCCAGGTATAGGAAGTGCTAAACTTGTAGAGCCCATACAGCACCTAGGGAATGGGAGGTAATCAAGTTTGATCTAGGGAAAAGGAGAGTAGCTTGATTTCCTTGGATAAAGAGCAAGGGCTGTTTATCCAAGGTGCCCCAGGATCAAGGCACCTCCCTTGAAGGGTTCATATGTTTACAAATCAGACTAAAGATGAAGTCTGGTGAAATCTTGGTAAGGTTATTGTCATTGATGGGCTGACAACTTGGAGTATAATCCTGAGTAATATGCTATTCACACTACTTAACTACTTTCACTTTCATTGTTACTTAATTATATGTCATTTGGTTGGAAATTATTTTAAAGCTTAACTACCATCAAAGTTAAGTGCTGTATCACACAACAGTTTATTTATAAATCTCATTCTGTAAAAAATAAACAGTTATCAGATTTATTTTTTATATATTCTTAGAAATATTTGCTTATTAGAATCAGCTGATATCATAGGTAGGTAACTTCCATTAATTGTTAGGCACAAAGAGTACAAAGACACAAAAAGTACAAAGAGTGCTCATTATTATAAATATTATTATCATAAAATTCCTGATTGCCTAAATTTTGTAATACAGCCTCTCCTCACTTAGCGACGTACTTGTTTACTGATGTCTCGAACTTACAACGGACTCTGACCAGTATGTATACCTAAATAATGTATATTAGAGATGATTTCCTCTAATATAAGGAATCTCCCATATGAAGATAGATTTAAAGCCTTAAATCTCCACTCTCTGGAGAGACACAGAATGAGGGGAGATATCATTGAAGTGCATAAGTGGATGACGGATATAAACAAAGGAGATATTAATAAAGTACTGAGGGTGTCGAACCAGGTAAGAACCGGGAATAATGGATTTAAGTTGGATAAATTTAGATTTAGAAAGGACATAGGTAAGCACTGGTTTTCTAACAGAGTTGTGGATGCGTAGAATAATCTTCCCAGTAGGGTGATTGAGGCTAGGACTTTGGGCAGCTTTAAAAAGAGATTGAAAAATATGAGTGAGAGGGTCTGGGTTTGATTTGTGTCATTGGGTACGGGAGTAAATTCTTGGGTAGCTTTGGGTAGAGGTCATTTTGATAAGGACCTGCCTTGTATGGGCCAGTAGGCCTTCTGCAGTGTTCCTCCATTCTTATGTTCTTACAATATACAGTACATCACTCTACTGTATAAATATTTAAAAATGTATACTAAAAATGTTATAAATGGTGCAAAGGTGACATTAAAACAATGTCAAAGATGGTTAACACAAACCCACTATTATTATAGTGTGCTCCTTGCTTAGTGACTTAACGTGGTCTTAGGAACAGAACTCCGTCGTTAAGTGAGGAGAGGCTGTAATGTGAATTGACACAATGACACAAATCAAACCCAGACCCTCCCACTCATATATTTGTCCAATCTCTTTTTAAAGCTGCCCAAAGTCCTAGCCTCGATCACCCTACTAGGAAGATTATTCCACGCATCCACAACTCTGTTAGAAAACCAGTACTTACCTATGTCCTTTCTAAATCTAAATTTATCCAACTTAAATCCATTATTCCCAGTTCTTACCTGGTTCGACACCCTCAGTACTTTATTAATATCTCCTTTGTTTATACCCGTCATTAGAATGCACCACTCCATAACTTGTATCATTATAGAGCAGTCAGTAAGAATTAGGATTAGTCTGCCCAAAATGCCTAGGCATGCTAGGCATTTTGGGCAGACTGTCCCAAGCTATATATGCAGAAGATATACTTTATATATCTTCTGCATATATAGCTTGGGACAGCATTTGTTTACTTTAGGTTGTACAGTATAGTATTATATGTATATGCATCATGAAACAAGGAGAATGGAATACTGATGATGATTATTATGCTTACAGGAGACCTTGGACGGGACTGGGCATGATGATGGGCCCACCACGGGAGGTGCTAGGAGGGCTCGTAGTCGGAAGTCCGGGGGGCTCCTCAGCTTGCAGCAGTTGCGGGAGCGGAGCCAACTCTTGGATGTGCCACTCATCGCTGCCCTCTGCTCAGACACAACACTCATCTCACATCCAAGCCGTACCCCATCCATCGATTCATCTGCAACACCAAACAGCCCCCCTCTTACCCACTCTGACTCCACTAGCTCGTCAAGCACTCGCCCCTGGGACTTGGACTCATCGCAGCCATCCTCCCACGTGACTAACATTTTACCTCAACCATTGACAGATACACAACAGACAAAGACAAAACGTAGGCAACGAGGTCTAAAAACCACACGCAGATATTCGCTGTCTGGTGTTTATACCACAAATCAAGTGCCTATCACCCACATAAAATCCAAATGTAGTAGTAAGACATTCAGTGGTGTTCATCAACACCCAAGTAAATCTAGCCACCAGACTCAATTCCCTAAGGATACAGATGATTCACTGAAGGCCTAACAGTTGCCCCTTAGGGTTGTCTCAGTTGTAGGCACTGCTGCTTGTTCCTTGAGGGAATCTACAACAGTGTAGCAAATCTGTATCTCTAGCATTTGTGAAACTCCAGTTTCTCTCTTACCTCATTTTTTTGTATTTCTTATACTGTATTCATTTTTATGCATTTTGTAGCATATTAGTATTTTGAACAAAGATAAAGGTTTGTAAGAATTTTGAAGAATTGTTACGTGAAAATTAAAAATCAAACCTTTAAAGCGCTGCTAATGAATATGTTAAAGAAACTTCATATGTATCACCAAGAATTTGTTAAACCAAGTTAAATTAATTGGGAATATATATCTCAGTTTAGAAGATAAGTTATGATGATTTACACAGTCATAAAGTGGTAAATCTGGTGTAAGGCGCGGCAGAGCTTTCAGTCGCCTGTCATCATGATCTCTAGGACGTTGGCTGGGCAGTACTGTCCACATTTGTCGTAAACACTAGTATACACACTCAGGCAACCCTTTTTTTTTTTATTTTTGTTATGTTTTTACATGTATTTAGTCATGTGTTGGCATTTATAACGTTACAGTAGCTATTTCATTATGTGGCCTCATTAAACCCCACCACCATCAAAGCCACTCTTTGAAGTACTAGTGTTCTAGGTTTAATTTTAATTGCCTAAATAAGCATGTAAAGTTGCAGTTTCCATATTTAAGATCAAATCTACTGCAATAAAATGTGCTAATAAAAGATAATTTTTTAAGCAATAAGTTTTCTGAGGTTACAAAGATTTAGTTTAATTTTAGGTAGTGTTCTATGATTTTATGATAATTTAAACACAGGTATATATAATTTTGCATGTTTTAATTTATTCATATTAAAAAATAAAATGTTGAGATATTGTCTAATTATATTTTATATTCAATCAATTACATCTAGAGCATAATGTCTATGTGGAATGGGTCTGGTGGTGGAAGGGTCTCAATGAGTAAGTAATAACCAGAAAGTGCCCAACTATCCATTCATGTACAGCACATACATGCGCACACCAACCATATACATATGCACACCACCCATACACATGCATACAGTACACATACACATGTGCATACCATCCATACACATGTGCTCACCACCCATATACACACACATACAATATTCACACACTGTCAACTGCTGCCACCACTGCCAGTGTTCCAAATGGTGATAGCATAGTACAAGCCCTGATTGTTTTGGGTTCTACGGATGCACTTTATATCTGTTTAATGCTTACGGTCTTAGTCATAATTTATTGAGTTATTTTAAAGTATAACTTACTTCATGTGCAGGTGCTGTTTTTAAAGCTGTGAGATGTCAGTTAAAGCAGCAAAACTGTAAAAGTTTTAGATTGATTGGTTCTAAACATACTATGGCTGTTTATGCATTAGAGTTTGTTAGTAACTATTCAGAATTGGTGTTAACCACAACACAAATAGGTGGTTGGCAGTGGGTGTAGTATGAATATTATTTACTATAAGGTTAATATTATTTTTAAATTTTCTGTGTGCTGGGTTTTATGCTCAGTATGTCTACAAGAACTAATAATAGATCACTGCACTCAGTTTTCTTAAGAGAACTAATATGGCATCACCACTTGTACTCATACTCAGGGTCGGGTATTGGAAGCATCTTTGTGATTTGTCTTTTATCTGTACACATTTCTGAGTTTGTCAAAATTAGTGTATAAGTTGAGCTGTTCATGTCTGTGTTGTCTAGTATTTATTATTTATTGAATCCCCTTCCCTATAGTACAACTTGAAGCTGTAGCCTTGACACCCAAAAAATGTGTTCATGATGGATCATGCATCTTGGTGTAATGAGTTTGCAAACAACCATTCAACTTGTCTTATCATTCATGAATATTGTTACCCAGTGAAAAAATACAGTATTTATTTTTAATAGTTAAAAAAATGATCTTTTACTATGTTGTGAGTTATTTACATTTTTCATACTATGTGCAGTATTTTTTAAATAATTGATATCTTCAAAATAAGCAGTGTAGTAGCACTGATCAATTTCAATTAAAATCCACTTGAAAAGAAAATTTAACAGAGAGACCTGTATATTGTCAGTTCCTAGCTTCAAATTTAATGTTCAAGGAGATAAAAGTCTGCAGTTCTTGGTTTATAAAAACCTACTCATTCAACCAGTTGCCTTCATTTTTTTCATCTGTCACTCAGTTTAGATAAAAATGAGTGTGGCTTCTCATTTTCTCGTAGTATTATGTATCTGCTCAGTAAAATATATATTTTTTTTAATTCACGGCTATCTCCTGCCAAGGAAGGGTAACCCAAAGAAAACACATTCACCCAATCTCCATCTTTCCAGAAGTATACTGGCATCACAGTCAAATAAGTTCTCTGACTGCAGAGAGTGCAGGAATTGCCTTTCCCACCTCCAGGACTCAAATCCTGCAAACAAGTTTCCTTGAATCCCTTCATAAAAGTTTCCCTGCTCACCCTTCAACACTTGGATCCATTCACTCCTATCTAATATGCTCCCTCCAATGTGATATCCAATTTTTCTTCATCTAAATCGTTTGATACCCTCATCACCTTACTCTTATTTGTGTTCACTTTCAACTTTCTTCCTTTACACACCCTCCCAAACTCATCCACTAACCTTTGCAACTTTTCTTTAGAATCTCCCAGAAACACAGTATCATCAGCAAAAAGTAACTGTGTCAACTCCCATTTTGTATTTGATTCCCCATAATTTAATCCCACCCCTCTCCCCAACTCCCTAGCATTTACTTCTTTTATAACCCCATTTATAAATATGTTAAACACCCATGGTGACATTACACATCCCTGTCTAAGGCCTAAATGTAACTAGAAGTAGCAGGACATACCTGAAATCTTATGTAAATAACAAAGAAAGGCACAATACCGTGACTGGAATGATACCCAAATAACCTGCACATAGAAGAGAGGAGCTTACGATGACATTTCAATCCGGCTTGGTCCAAGTTGGACCGAAATGTTGTCATAAGCTCCTCTCTTCTACGTACAGGTTATTTGTGTATAAATCTTGCATGTTTATGAGACAGGAAAAAGACACCAGAAATCCTACCATCATGTAAAACAATTACATGTTTCTGTTTTACACTCACTTGGCAGGACAGTAGTACCTTCCTGGGTGGTTGCTGTCTACCAACCTACTACCTAGGAAATATATATATTGTTTTTTTTTTCAATGAACCGGCACTATCCCACCGAGGCAGGGTGACCTAAAAAGAAAAATGAAAGTTTCCCTTTTTAAATTTAGCATTGTATACACGAGAAAGGGTTACTAGCCCTTGCTTCTGGCATTTTAGTCACCTCTTACAACACGCATGGCTTACAGAGGAAGAATTTTGTTCCACTTCCCCATGGTATATATATTTTATGTCGAATATATATATTTGTATATGTATTTTAACATGCATGTGTACATGCAGATGGATGCATGCAGGGTAGTAAATGAGAAAAATTTTAATATACAATCATGTATTGCTAAACGACAGGGATACTTGCTGAGAAAAGTGTTGGTAGGTGATTTTGCCATTGTGCGAATGTCATAGACTGTACTTACACAAACCTAGATGGTATAGCCTACTACATAACTAGGCTATATGGTTTTTTTTTAATCATAGATTTGCTTGTATTGTCATATCTGAGTGCCTCTGCAGAGACAGTGATTATGTATGAGCGATGGTGAAAGTGTTGAATGATGATGAAAGTTTTTTCTTTCTTTTTGGGTCACCCTGCCTTGGTGGGAAACGACCGATGTTTTAAAAAAGAAAAAAAAAAGATTTGCTTGTAAGCAGATAATGCACCATGAACATTCCTCTTTATTAATGAAAACCCTTTGGTGTTGAGGTCCCTGTTTCCAACTTTTTTAAGGAGTTTCTGCTAAAGCCTTCACTGTGAATTTTGTTTGGGGGTTCTTCTTTTTCTTCTCCAGCAGGGGCCAAGAGGAGCAGAGAATCACAAGATTAAATCAAGCACAAGGGAAAATGATGCTATTAAGAGATGCTGTAAACAAGAGATGTATGAGGCTGCTGCCAGTGTAATGCTGTATACTGTTTCACAGTAATTTTTTTTTATAAGAAAGAGTACACTCTATAGAGTAATGATAAAAAGTACAGTACAGTATAGTAAATACATAAAGCAGAACATAGTTGTTTATTATCATTATCAAGTACATACTATGTAATGTACATAGTTGTATGTGCTATACTTTTATACAACTGGCAGTGCAGTAGGTTTGTTTACACCACCGTTGTATATGTGGTCCATTGTTGACTGAAACGTTGTTATATGGTGTATGACTGTACAAGGTTTTTTTTTTACAATGTGTAAATGGTGTCCCATGGCTCAGTTGGCAACACTGGCCTCACACTGAGTGTCCATGGTTCACTCCCTGGCATGGATGGAAACATTAAGATTAAGAATTAAATGTTTATTTTGACAAATTACATGGTTGTACAGAGGAATATAATAGTTGGGTGTACATGCCAAAAGTCCCTTTGTATGCAGAGCATTTCGGGCAAACTTAAAGATTAACTTAAGATTAGTAAGGTAATAATACATAGTTCAAATGGTCATTAGATGAGTTACAGTGAGTACAGGAGAATTGAATATTCTATCAGATAATGCTACATGGTTTTGATAAGTCTAGTAGAGACTTATTACACTATTGGACATGTTTCCTTACATCTGCTGTCCCTGTTCACCTAGCAGTAAGGAGGAACCTGGGTGTTAGTCGACTGGTGTGGGTTGCATTCTGGGGGATAAGGTTCAAGAACCCCAATAGAAATGAGACAGTCTTTGGTGGTGCACTGATTTTATTGGGTTATCCTGGGTGGCTAAACCTCCAGGTTAAAAGTCACAGCGCAGTGTCTTCCTTTGCAGATGACACCCGAATTTGCATGACAGTGCCCTCCATTGAAGACTGCAAAACTCCAGGCGGACATCAACCAAATCTTTAATTAGGCTGCAGAAAGCAATATGAAGTTCAGTGATGAGAAATTCCAATTACTTCGATATGGAAAACATGTGGAAATTAAAATTTCATTGGAGTATAAAACAAATTCCAACCACACAATAGAGTGAAAAACTAATCTCAAAGACCTGAGTGTGATCATGTCAGAGGATCTCGCTTTCAAGGACCATAACATTGAAATTGCTGACCTAGAAAATGTACAGAGAACCTTCATGGCACCCATAACTGTGATAAACCACCTCAGTTACTGGGAATGCTTGAAGTTCTTAAACCGTACTCCCTAGAATGCAGGAAGGAGAGATACATGATTATATACACCTGGAAAATCCTAGAGGGACTAGTACCAAACTTGCACACGAAAATCACTCCCAACGAAAGCAAAAGACTCGGCAGACAGTGCAACATTTCCCCAATGAAAAGCAGGGATGCCACTTGCATGATAAGACAACACAATAAGTGTCAGGGCCCAAGACTGTTCAACAGCCTCCCAGCATACATCAGGGGGATTACCAATAGACCCTTGGCTGTCTTCAAGCAGGTGCTGGACAGGCACCTAAAGTCAGTACCTGACCAGCCAGGTTGTGGTTCGTACGTTGGATTATGTGCGGCCAGCAGTAACAGCCTGGTTGATCAGACCCTCATCCACCATGAGGCCTGGTCACAGACCAGGCTGTGAAGGCATTGACCCCCAGAACTCTCTCCAGGTATACACAGAATGCAGGGTACAGTAAAACCTCTCTCTAATGGATTTCAGCAATTTCGGACAAAATTTTCGCTGGAGAAACGTAAGTATCGGACAAATTGGAATAAAATTCATAATTCCATATTTTGTCTGATAGCATGTTTTTATTAGTGATTACTTGTAAATAATGTTTAACCTGGTTATTTTTTTAGCACATGCATTCTGACTTTGTGTATGTACCTTGTATACATGTATAAAGAGCTTACATTAATTTGGCAAAGATTGATGAAGAACTATAGAATTATTATTTACATTGTGTTAGTTGTGAGTGGTTGACAGGTGTTGGGAAGAGGAGGATAGGTGGGTGGGTGAGTGGATGGATAGCCACCAGACAATGAGGGACCTAGTCCTGGGAGAGGGAAAAGCTAAAGGAGGAAAGGTGTTGGCTGAGAGCCAAGGAGGAAGGTCTCCTCATCCTTCACTGCCTCCCTCTGTATGTATGAAGAACTCAGTGTTATTTTTAGCAGAGATTGTCAATGATCTGTGCTGCTGTAGATTTATTATTTACATTGTGTTAGTTGTTGGGTGGCAGGGGTGGAGGGGTATTGTTGGTAAAGCAGGGAGGTGGGTGGGTATAGAAGCCCAGGAGTAATGTTCCTGTTCCAGACATGTTCTTTCATTTGTCTTCTCTACCTTCACACATTACAGTACCCTCATACACACACACACATACACCTGATGACACTGGAGGACGACCTGACAACACTGGAGGACAGGAGAGATGGGGGGTACATGATAGCAACATATAAAATACTGAAAGGAATTGACAAGGTGGACAGAGACATAAAGTTCCAGAGATGGGACACAGCAACAAGGGGACACAGTTGGAAGTTGAAGACAGACGAATCACAGGGATGTCAGGAAGTATTTCTTCAGTCAGAGTAGTCAGGAAGTGGAATAGTTAAGGAAGTGATGTAGTGAAGGCAGGATCCATTTATAACTTTAGGCAGAGGTATGATAAAGCTCATGGTTCAGGGAGAGTGACCCAGTAGCGACCAGTGAAGAGGCGGGGCCAGGAGCTATGACTCAACCCCTGCAACCACAGCTAGGTGAGTGTACACACACACTCGCATCCACCCAAACACACACCCACTACACACCACACCAGCCTACTACTACCTAGCCAAGCTACCTACTACCTACTACTACCTACCTACCTACTACCTACCTACGCCTACTACCTACCTACCTACCTACCTACCTACCTACCTACCTACACTACCTACCTACCTACCTACCTACCTACCTACCTACCACTACCTACCTACCTACCTACCTACCTACCTACCTACCTACCTACCTACCTACCTACCTACCTACCTACCTACCTACCTACCTACCTACCTACCTACCTACCTACCTGCCTATGTACCTACCTACCTACATTGTACCTACCTGCAACCACAATTATGTGAGTACAATTAGGTGAGTACACACACACTCACACACCTCACACTCACACCAACCCACCCATCTTCTCACATTCACCTGCCTGCCTACCTACCTATCCACCCTCCCTTTCACATGCTCACCCACTTGAATAAAAACATACATGAGGTGTTGGAATGGGTGCATGTGATGAGTGGGATTCAACAAGGATCAGTCCTAGGTTTGGTGCTCTTGATTGTATAGTCTAGTTGATCAGGCCCTGATTCACCACAAAGTCTGGTCACAGACCGGTCCATGGGGGAGTTGACCCCTGAAACCCTCTCCAGGTATGTGATGAGATGACAGAAGGGATAGTCATAGGTTTCCATTTGCAGATGCTGAGACACTAATGAAAACAAAAATGAATGAGGACCAGGAAAATGAAAATGTTTATTTCCTTGCAAAGCTTACAATGAGTGGTCTACATATTATAAAATATTAATTACACAGAAAGCCACTAGCATGCCTAGGCATTTCGGGCAGACTAATCCTAATTCTTACTCTATATTGACACAGGTTATGGAGCAGTACATTTTAATATACATTATTGCATACTGATATAAAAGTTGGGTAAGGCTACAAATGGATCTGGACAGGCTACAGGCCTGGTCTAACAAATGGCTCCTGAAATTTAGCCCCACCAAATGCAAAGTTCTGAAGCTTGGGGAAGGACAAGAAAACCGCAGACTGAGCATATCTGCTGATGTGCACATCAGCCAAATAACTGCTACAACAAATGTGTGGCTGTCAAATCTAAGAATAGCTTTTTGACGTCTAAATAACCATTTTTGACACTGTACATTGTGTACGTCAGGCCCATATCGGAGTACACAACACCAAGACTCAAGAAATCGTAATGACACGATTGCAAATAAACCATACCCCCGGCCGGGATTGAACCTGCGGTCATAGAGTCTCAAAACTCCAGCCCGTCGCGTTAGCCACTAGACCAGCTAGCCACAATAAGAGACTCTATGACCGCAGGTTCAATCCCGGCCGGGGGTATGGTTTACACAACACCAATATGGAACCCACACCTGGTGAAGCACAACAAGAAATTTGAGAAAACTCAGAGATTTGCAACAAAATTAGCCCCAGAGCTAAAGGGTATGTCCTATGAGGAGAGGTTAGGGGAACTCACCCTGATAACATTTGAGGAGAGGAGGACTAGGGAGGATATGATAACATACAAAATACGTACTAAAAGGCATTGACAGGGTGAATAGGAACAATGTTTTAGAGATAAGAAAAAGAAACAAGAGGGCACAGCTGGAATTAAAAGCTCAGATGAGTCATGGGGATGTTAGGAAGGATTTCTACAATCTTTGAGTTATCAGGAAGTGGAACAATCTGGTGAGTGAAGTGGTATAGGCAGGATCCATATATAGTCAAGAGTGAGTGAACTTAGTAGAGACTAGCAAAGAGGCAGTGCCAGGAGCATTGACTTGACACACTGCAGCCTCATATAGGTGGGTACTGTCTCATTCCCACTTCTCACACCAATCCTCTCAAACCCATCCTCTCTCATGCACTCATCTACCTACCCTCACACTCATTCCTGTATACCCATCCACCTTCACACCTACACATACACCCTCATGCCCTCCCTCATACTCACTCTTTCATACCAACTCCTCATGCCCACTCATACCAGCTTGTTATGCCCACTCTCTCTCACCCATCTATATTCACTTACTCTTTCATAACCACACACCCCTCACCCTCTAACACCCTCTTCCCAAACACCTATTCACATTTTCTGAAACGTTTGTTGAGTTTGTTGCACATTACACACACAAACATTTATTACAGTAGTACCATAAGTTATGTACATTGCTATAAAATTAATATACAGTACAGTACTGAAGGTTACCTTCATTTTTAGTGTTTGTCTTCTGCATTAGTGGACCAAGTCTGCTAGTTCAGAAGACATCTAAATGATCATGAAAAACTAATTTCATAATTCAGAAGTTGCAGACAGTTGACAATATCATACACCCCTTTCCCCCATTAATCTGTTATTGAAAAACTTTACTGTATGTGGAGAGAGAGCCAGACAGAGCTTGAGAGTAATGAGAGAGCGAAAAATGAGCAAATGAAAGAAAAGGTGAGTTTCGGTAAATTTTGCTGAGAATGATAAGCAGTTTTGGAGACTATTTCGTAAGTTAAGAAAGATATTTGGGAGTAGCCAAGTAGGCAGATGGGTCTATGGAAGATGGGGCTAATCTTAGAATACATGAGGGGGGTGGGGAAGGTTGGTGGTGTGTTGAGGCATCTGTGGAAAGAAAATAGTTTACTTGTGGAGGGGGGAAGAAAAAAAAATGTACCAGTGTATGGTCGAAGGAGTTTTTTTTTACATGGGTGTAAGGCATGGTCTTTAATTAAACATTGTAGGAAGCGGGAGACTGAAGGCAGTAGCAATGTGGTATGAATATTATGCTTACTAAGAATTAGGACTGCACAAATTAGAAGACTGTATGGGGTTACAAAAGGTACATTTTAGATACTGGGTTTACTTGTTTTAGAAGGAATGCTGAAGTTTTTCATTTTTTTTTTTAAATTGGCCGTCTCCCACCGAGGCAGGATGACCCAAAAAGAAAGAAAATCCCCCCCAAAAAATACTTTCATCATTCAACACTTTCACCTCACTCATACATAATCACTGCTTTTCATATATTTTTCATATGTGAGGCAAAACAATTTTAAACCATATTTTAATGATTAAGTTTAAGATATGGTTGTAATAGAAGTGAATGCGAGGGTCTTGGCAAGAGGTATGGGGTTAAAAGATAAAGAATCAAACACAAAGTGGGGGTTGTCACAGTTGCTCTTTGCTGATGCCACTGTGCTTTTGGGAGATTCTGAAGAGAAGTTGTAGATGGTGGATGAATTTGGTAGGGTATGTAAAAGAAGAAAATTGAAAGTGAATATAGGAAAGAATAAGGTGATGAGGATAACAAAAAGATTAGGTGATAAAAGATTGGATATCAGATTGGAGGGAGATAGTATGGAGGAGGTGAAAGTATTCAGATATTTAAGAGTGGACATGTAAGCAGATGGGTCTATGAAAGATAAGGTGAATCATAGAATTGATGAGGGGAAAAGGGTGAGTGGTGCACTTAGGAATCTGTGGAGACAAAGAACTTTTTCCGTGGAAGCAAAGAGGGAAATGTATGAGAGTATAGTTATACCAATTCTCTTATATGGGTGTGAAGCATGGGTGGTGAAATTTGCAATGAGGAGAAGGCTAGAGGCAGTGGAGATGTCATATCTGAGGGCAATGTGTGGTGTGAATATAATGCAGAGAATTCGTGGTTTGGAAATTAGGAGGAGGCACGGGATTACCAAAACTATTATCCAGAGGGCTGAGGAGGGGTTGCTGAGGTGGTTCGGACATGTAGAGAGAATGGAACGAAACAGAATGACTTCGAGAGTGTATAAATCTGTAGTGGAGGGAAGGCGGAGTAGGGGTTGGCCAAGGAAAGGTTGGAGGGAATGGGTAAAGGAGGTTTTGTGTGCGAGGGGCTTGGACTTCCAGCAAGCATGCGTGAGTGTATTTGATAGGAATGAATGGAGACAAATGGTTTTTAATACTTGATGTGCTGCTGGAGTGTGAGCAGAATAACATTGACGAAGGGAGTCAGGGAAACCGGCAGGCCAGACTTGAGTTCTGGAGATGGGAAGTACAGTGTCTGCACTCTGAAGGAGGGGTGTTACTGTTGAAGTTTTGTAACTGTAGTGTAAAGCACCCATCCGGCAAGACAGTGATGGAGTGAATGATGGTGAAAGTTTTTCTTTTTCAGGCCACCCTGCCTTGGTGGGAATTGGCCGATATGTTAATAAAATAAAAATAAAGTTTAAGAGGAAGAAAAATGCTGTGGGATGTAAGCGTTACAGCACATGCACATATCAGGTCTGGATGCTGTAGGCTGGGATGTAAATAGTGCTTATGTAAGCCCTAAAAATATGAAAGGGACATTGTACAGTTCATCAGTATGAGACAGGATTTAGTAAGGCGTACTTTAATTCAGGCTGGGATTGGAGATAAGAGAGGGGTAAATATATGCCTTGAGAAAAAAAATGAACAAATTGATGCCCAATTGCTTTGGCAGCTTCAGCTGGGTCTGTCAGTGTTTTTTTGTTTTTTTTTAATAACTAGAGATAGGAAATCCAACTATATTTCATGACTTACTTCTTGAAGACAAATAAAAACAGGAAATGTAGGGAACCAACATTTGTAGCTCTCCTGATTCCCCTTGCATCCTCTGATATTCCATTGTAAAATTAACATTATTGATTGCTTATTATAGGTTGGTAGAGGTAAGCATGGATTGGTTATGGACTGGTGTGGTCAGTTAAATTGACCTGAGGTGGTAGAATGATGATGATTTTAAGCACTAAACCTGTTGAGCTGGCAGAAGTATAGTAGTGATAAATGATTTTCATGATAGAATTTATGCATAATGAGTAGTAGTGTGCATATTAGCTGCAAGTGCAGGAAGTGGCAAAACAAACAGTATGTGGGATGGGATCATGAGCTTAGGATGCTGATGTTAATGTAGGATTACAGTCCAAGTCATACAGTATGTTTTTTGCATTTTGACTTGAAGTAGGATCCTGTTGAGTTTTTCCAATTTGAAGGAGGGCTT